ACCTGGAGTTTATTCATGGTGGGTTGTGGGCAACCAGTGGGTTTATTTGTGTGTTAGCCAGGGTGATGGTGAGCTAGGTCCACCGTGCTCACCCCGGCGCCTCTCTCACCTGTATCTCCGTAATGATGCGTAGCGTAATGTACCTGACGCAAGGTTAAATTACAACGTAAGTGAATGTCGTGTTAGGAAATAGAACATCCCTTGATGTAGTGTTACAATGTACATCTGCTCTGCTCTGGAAGAATGAAGGAAATCCAGAAACTAATAGAGTAGAGAAACTCAAATCATGCAGTAGAGCCAACGTCCCATATGCGAGACTTAGGAGTAATGATGTCAGAAGATGTCACATTCAAGATTCACAGCAACAATGTTGCCACTGCTGCCGCGACGAAGATAATAGGCTGGACAATTAGAATTTTCGAAACAAGAGATAGTCAATGACTACCGGACAGATGGCCGAACGGACATTTCACCGAATATCGGATAACCTAACCTAACCAAACCTATTCTAACCAATCGTGTCATTACGATTTCGTGAGTCAAAGTAACGTATCCTAACCTGTCCTAACCTAACCCAGATATCCGACATTTGGCGAAATGTCCGTTTGGTCAAATATCCGTTCGGCCAAGTGTCTGTTCGGTGAAATGTCCGTTCGGTCAAATGTCCGTCGGTGAAATGTTCGTTGGTGAAATGTCTGTCAGCCATCTGTCCGGCCACGGAGCCAATGATACTCAAGTCACTTGGGCTCTCCAGGCTGGAATACTGTTGTATGCTGACGGCGTCCTTCATGGAAGGCAATATTACTGAGCTGGAAAATATGTGAAGAACTTTCACTGCTCGTATACACTCAGTCAAGCATCTGAACTATTGGGAACACTTGAGATGCCTTACACTGTGTTCCATGGAACGTATTCGCGAAAGGTACATAATATACACCTGGGAAATCTTGGACTGGTCCCAAACCGGAACACTGAAATCACTCGGTATGGCAACACGAGACTTGGCAGATGGTGGAGAACACCACTAGAAAGCAGAGTTGCGACAAGTACACTAAGGAAGTAGTCGACGAGTGTCGGAGGTCCTCGACTCTTCAACGCCCTTCTTCCATGCAAACGGGGAATTGTGGAAAAAGACACTTATGTACAGTTCAGGACATTTATTAAAGGAAACATTTCGCCACAGTGGCTCTTTCATTCTTAATACAGAGCAACTAAGAAAAAAGAGTATATATAGTGACAGAAGTCAGGTGGAAGGTCGCGTGGGTAGTAGTCGTGGTGGTGGTGGTAGTAGTAGTAGTAGTAGAATTGTGGTGAGATGGATTGAGTTTGAGAAGGATCTGTCAGCATCATGTTACAACGGTTTCCAGAATGGGTATTATCCCGTTGATTAGCAATTTAGGTATAGTGTAACTTCCGGACTTTTGATGGATAGTGTTACTGGCAGCAGTTAGGGCAACTTATATGCACTTTCGCCTTCTTAAATCTTTGCCTCGGTGAATTTCATGAGGTGTCCAGCATCGACCCTGTGTTGAACACACGTTTCTACGGTCAACACGGTTGCAGAGCGTTCTTGTGTTCCCTGATCCTAATATCCGGAGATCTGGCTGTTTCTCCCACATATACTTTGTCACAACCCCACATGGTATAGTGTATACTCCTGCAGTTGAGGAGCTGGTGAGTATTTTAGCAAGTTTTCTGTCAAGTATTTTAGGAACGTTAGTTGCAATGTCGATGACTGGTAAAACGATATAACTTGGAGGCTTTCCTTCAACTGGATTGGTGTTAGTCTTGTTGAAGATGAGCGTCGCACGTTTCCTACATTCAAGTATCAAGTGTAGGGGGAAGTGTAGCGAACTAAAAGAATTTGTAATGTATGTGCATTCTTCCTCGAGGAACTATGGACTTGAAATTCTGCAAGCTGTCAGAAAGAAGCCTATAACTACCCCTCTTTTAGTTCTGGTGTCATGGTGAGAGAAGAAATGTAGAGGATCGTTCTTGTATGTAGGTTTACGGTAGACTTTAAAAAAAAGTCTGTTTTCACCTGTGAGTAGGAGAACGTCGAGAAAACTCTTTTTTCTTAGTTACTTTGTAGTAGGACTTAGCCACTCGTGGCGAAACGTTTCCTGAACTGCACATAAGCGTCTTTTTCCACATCTTATCGGTATCACCATACCATTTCTCAAACGGGGAATTACCAACAAACCTCTGGCTGTCTTCAAGAGACAACTGGACAAGTTCCTCAAATCAGTGCTGTGGTTTGTACGTTGGACTACGTGCGGCCAGCAGTAGTAACCTAGTTGAGCAGGTCTTGATCGTCCAGCGTTTATGTATTTATGTCGTTACGTACGTCAGGTAGCCCAGTCTACCACCACCATTGATGCGTGTGTACATTGCAACGTTTCCTGGTGTTGTTCAGCTACCGCTTTACCAAACGTGTTATGCCAGACACCTTGGTCATGACGTGTCACGTCAATCGTGAAGGCAGGAAGGTCAAAATAAACCCTGTGAAAAGCAGGGGTCCAGTGGGTACAATAAGGGAATGCTGTATCGTGGCCCCAGACTAATGAACATTTTACCAGAAGATATCAGAAACACTGCTGGGACAAGTGTACAAGTCTTCAGGCGGAAAATGGACATATATCTTCACTAGGTGCCAGATCAACCAGGCTGTGATGGATATGTGGGTCAACGGGCCTCCAACAGCAACAACAGCCTGGTTGACCAGGTAAACACCAGACGAGCCTGACTCATGGCCGGGCTCCGGGAGTAGAAAAACTCTCGGAACTCATCAAAGGTATATCGAAGGTAAAGGTATATCTCAGTCATGACGTGTCACGTCAGTGGTGAGTGATTCACCTCTACTGGCACTGTAAGGCTATCATCCAGCTACATCTGAACTACAAACACTTGTATTTCTGAAATATTGATGTAAATAGTTATTAAGCACTCTAGTACAGGTACAGGTAGGTTGGTCAGGTCATCCTCGGTCCGGGTCTTCTACACTCGGTGACAAACCTCATTGTGTTTACACAAAATCCACTCGGTCTATATAATTGCAAGATACACCTCAGTGTTTTTACATTGCAAGATGCACCTGGTGTTTTTTCAACGAACCGGCTGTATCCCACCGAGGCAGGGTGACCTGAAAAGAATGAAAGTTTTTCTTTTTAAAGTTAGTAATGTATACAGGAGAAGGGGTTGTTAAATTAGACAGAGGTGCAACTCTTGGGTATCTTTATTGAGGAAACGTTTCGCCACACAGTGGCTTCATCAATCCATACATAGGAGAAACTTGAAGAACAGGAGGAGAATGAGGTAATCAGTCCCTCAACCTTGAGTCGATGTGGTCAGTCCATCAATCTTGAATAGAATACGGCATATGTGCAGAGAAGCAGCTTATAAACCGTACGCAGGAGAGGTGCAGCAGTCGTAGGTGGTGTCACATTTGTCCTATGTGAAGCCACTGTGTGGCGAAACGTTCCTCAATAAAGATACCCAAGAGTTGCACCTGTGTCTAATTTAACAACGTGTCGGTTCTCTGAACCATTCATCTGCAGGAGAAGGGGTTACTAGCCCCTTGGTCGCGGCATTTTAGTCGCCTCTTACGACATGCGTAGCTTACGGAGGAAGAACTCTTTTCCATTTCCCCATGGGAATACACCTGGGTATATACACTAAATTACAGATGAGTGTTAATATGGTGTGTAAGAGGGTTAGGTGGGTGGGTGTGTAACGTTAGGTGTGAAGGTAACTCGAGCCATTAAATCCTAACGAGGTTCCTCAGAGCCTCTGCTTGACTCTCTGCCTCTTTACTGTTTAATATAATATAAAAAAGTCATTTGAAAAAGCCTACTGTGTGAGCGAAACGTTCTCTCTTCCATCAAGTCTGTATTTTATACCATTTATCTCCGAGAGGAGCATCGTTAAAGTTAAAACATTAAGTAGCTTTAATAATAGGTTAGATCAGGACATGAGCGACTGCACGGGAGGCTGTTGGTATGTTGGAAAAAAAAAAACCATAGATACACAGTAGCTTACCATATTTGACATTAAATACTGGACCAGTTTGGCATAAAGAGAGTACCGAATGAGTATTTTATTTGTGGTGTTAACAAAGTAGTGTATTACTGACAGAATGCCCACAGTGTAGAAAATTTTCTTGTTGTACAGTCAAGGTGTACCCCTAAGAATTTTCCCATGTTAGAATTTAGTTTGTTTTAAAAATTGTTTTATGATTCGTTGCCAAACAACTAGGCCTGGCTGGGGGTGGAGTCGCTGGGGCGATGATCCCCTCAAGTGCTTCAAGCTTCCATACATGGCCAGGCTCCGGGAGTAGAAACACACTCGAAACCCATCAAGGGTATATCAAAGGTGTATACAAAATTCGTACCTCCGGCAGAACTTTTGCTTCTTTATTATTCACCAGAGCAGTTCATCCCCTCACCAGCCATTCTTAGTTTGTAAACCTAAATTAAATATAAATGATCAACCAGACACTTAAAACGGGATACCAAAACACTTCTGAGTGTAGTTATAAGAACAACTGCAGATCCATTTATTGAAGGTGTACAATATCCACATGTTGATAAACAAGACACACTTGCAACAGGAGTATCCTTATTGCAAAAAAAAAAGTTACGCCTGCACCACAGGCTTCTTCAGTCGAATACAGATGAATACAACAGTAAGCAGCAGTAGTTTGGACAGGATCGGTTTATCTGGGGAATATTGCGATGGTCAGCGCCCCCGCGGCCCTGTCTGTGACACACTGATCACCTCAAAACTACACGTACTGTCCTCAGTGTTACATTCACATGTATTTAACTGAAGAAGCCTATTGTACAGACTAAACGTTTTGGCAATAAAGATAACTTAAGCGTTGCAAATATGTGTTGTTCAACAGTTGCAAATGTGTAACAACCCACACTGTTTAATCATATATTGTGCAGCCATACACACTGAAGAAACCACGACGTTTATTGTTTTTGTTTGTCCTTCAGGTGGCCATGGTGGGCAGGTGAAGCAAGACGCAGTATATGACTCCCTTCAAGACATCCACCACCTGCAGCAGTAGCAGGATGACGACCCACAGCAGCAGAAGGCGGTGGAGAAGCAGTAACAGTTACACCTTGTTGGTGTTAGTGATGGTGGTGTTGCACAGCGCAGCAGCCACCGCTGCTAGGAACGGTGAGTACCTCTCTGCAACTTGCTACAACTTCTCCAGACTCTGGCGATACATCCGCAGTGTGCTGCCACCATCTTCTATATGAACACTGCCAACAAAAGCTAAATGTGCTTCCCTGTCGTAATCCAGGAGGAGGACGGGGGGGTAGGAGGTGGAGGACGGGGGGTAGGAGGAAGAAGAGGAGGAGGGGGACGGGGGGGTAGGAGGAGGAGGGGAAGGAGGACGGGGGGGTAGGAGGAGGAGGAGAAGGAGGACGGGGGGAGGAAGAGGAGGACGGGGGGAGGAGGAGGAGGAAGAGGAGGACGGGGGAGGAAGAGGAGGATGGGGGGGAGGAGGAGGAGAGGTTGAGTGACACTTCAATGGAAGCACCTTGAGAGTCCTGACATATTACCACCCACACTCCCGTACCTACACTCCTGTACCTACTCCCGTACCTACACTCCCGTACCTACACTCCCGTACCTACACTCCCGTACCTACACTCCTGTACCTACACTCCCGTACCTACAGTCCTGTACCTACACTCCCGTACCTACACTCCTGTACCTACACTCCCGTACCTACACTCCTGTACCTACTCCCGTACCTACACTCCTGTACCTACTCCCGTACCTACACTCCCGTACCTACACTCCTGTACCTACACTCCTGTACCTACACTCCTGTACCTACAGTCCTGTACCTACACTCCCGTACCTACACTCCTGTACCTACACTCCTGTACCTACACTCCCGTACCTATACTCCCGTACCTACACTCCCGTACCTACTCCCGTACCTACTCCCGTACCTACACTCCCGTACCTACACTCCTGTACCTACTCCCGTACCCACACTCCCGTACCTAAACTCCAGTACCCACACTCCCATACCTACACTCCCGTACCTACACTCCCGTACCTACACTCCCGTACCCACACTCCCGTACCCACACTCCCGTACCTAAACTCCAGTACCCACACTCCCATACCTACACTCCCATACCTACACTCCCATACCTACACTCCCGTACCTACACTCCCGTACCTACACTCCCGTACCCACGCTCCCGTACCTACACTCCCTCAGTCAGGCTGTTATTGCTAACTGCACGCAGTCCAACGCACAAACCACAGCCCGGCTGCTCAGGAACTGATTTGAGGAATTTGTCGAGTTCCCTCTTGAAGACAACCAGAGGTTTGTTGTTAACTTTCCTTATGCGCGGAGGGAGGACTTTGAAGAGTCGGAGACCTCCGACATTTCTCTCGTAATATACTCGTCTCGACCCAGCTTTTTAGTGGACGTATTTTGCACCGTCTGCCGAGTCTCTTGTTGTCATACGCAGTGATTTCAGTGTTCGTGTTTAGGGTCAGTTCCTCCAGGATTTTCTAGGTGCAGATTATGAGGTACCTTTCTCGCTTATGTTGGAGACTTCAGGTGTTTCCAGTAGCTCAGATGTTTGACTGTATACAAGCAGTGAAGGTTTTGTTTTCCAGTTCAGCAGTCTCGTCTGTCTTGAACGGGGCGGTTAGTATACAGCAGTATTCCAGCTTGGAGGTAAAAGGTGACTTAGAGTATCATCATTGGCTCAGCATCTCGTGTCGAGAAAAGTTCTGGTTATCCATCCGAGATATATATATATATATATATATATATATATATATATATATATATATATATATATATATATATAATATAATTTACACCTGTAAAATCCTAAAAGGAATGGTCCTGAATCTGCACACACAAATCACTCCCTACGAAAGTAAAAGACTGGGCAGGCGGTGCAAAATACTCCTAATGAAAAATAGGGGCGCCATTGGTACAAAAATAGAAAACACCATAAGTGTCCGGGGCCCAAGACTGTTCAACAGCCTCCCACCATGCAAAAGGGGAATTACCAGTAGGTCCCTGGCTGCCTTCAAGAGGGAACTGGACAGATACTTAAAGTTGGTGCCGGGCTGTCGTTCGTACGTTGGGCTACGTGCGGCCAGCAGTAACAGTCTGGTTGATCAGGCCCTGATCCACCGGGAGGCCTGGTCGTGGACCGGGCCGCGGGGGCGTTGATCCCGGAATACCCTCCAGGTAGACTCCAGGTAGACTCCAGGTAGGCAGGTATCATTTTCTGTGTGATCGCGATGGCAACATTGTTGTGATTCTGGAAGGCAAGATATGATATAATTACTACAAAGTCTCGTAAATGGAACTTGAGCTCTGTTGAATTATTTGAGTTTGCCCTATACGTAATTTATTTCCTCTGTTCTTCCATAGCAAATGAAACTTATCCTCGTTAAACATGGTACATATTGTTGTAGCACGTGATAAGCACCATAGTGTTGAATCTGAAGCACAGGGCAGGGAGACTGATGCTTATATACTGGAGTCAGAAGAGTTGGGGGCAGGCGAAGGTATTGTCTACAAATTAAAGATAGCCAGATGTTGCACAAGTCTAATTCATCATCTTGTCGGTATTGTATTCCATTGATATACAACTTTTCAGACACGGCAACATCATGGAATCTTGGTACAGAGGACGTCTCCATAACCTACTTGGCTATTCCTGGCTCAGCTCTTGGGCATGACCTACTTCTATTAGGGAATCCCTCCTACCAGTGGCAATACCTTCATCTGCTGCACCTCATCTGACTTCAGTATATAAGCACCAGTCTTCTGCCTTCACTTCAGATTCTTCAACGCTACGGTGTTTAACACCTGCTCCTAGCCTGAGGAACTCATTGCCTCGTCTTCTGTATATATTTCTACAGTCTTCAGGTTATGTCTATGTATTTTATTGATAAAACCACTGGATGGCGAAACGTCTACAAAGATATCTGAAATGTTGTATATGTCTAATTCGTTGTCCCAGACTATTTGATATCTTATCAGAAGATACCAGAAACACTGCTGGGACAAGTGTAGAAGTCTTCAAGAGGAAACTGGACAAGTATCTTCACCAAGTGCCAGATCAACCAGGCTGTGACAGTTGCTCTCCTACCATCCACCCATCAGTTGCTCTTCTACCATCCACCCATCAGTTGCTCTTCTACCATCCACCCATCAGTTGCTCTTCTACCATCCACCCATCAGTTGCTCTCATACCATCCACCCATCAGTTGCTCTTCTACCATCCACCCATCAGTTGCTCTCCTCTACCACCCACCCATCACTTGCACCCCTCCAGCACCCACCTCTTGCCCGCCCACCACCCTGGGTGAGGGAGGCTGGGCAGACCATCTCAGCATACTGATGCTTCCATTGTTCCGCCCAGCCATTGTCCTTAATTTAATAGTATTCACACCCACCTTACCCTTTCCTCCCACCCCTCTTCCCCCTCCACCCCTCTTCTCCTCTCCCCCACCCGTCTTCTCTCCTCCCCTCTTTTCCCATCATCTATCCCCCCTTCGTTTGGATCAGGGAGAATAGGGATGTAGTGGTGTGTCAGGTGTGGATGTGGGTCAAGTGTGAGTGTGTCAGGTGTGGGTGTGTGTACCTGGAGATTGTTCCGAGGGTCAACGCCCTCACAGTCAAGTCATAGACCAGGCCTCCAGGTGGATGGCCTGATCAAGACAGCCAGGGGTCTCTTGGTAATGCCCCTTTACATTTAGTTAGTTTTTCTTTACTGTCAAGCCTGTTTCTTTGGTGGAGCGACTTTTGTGTGCAGGTTTGGGACCAATTCTAAAAATATTCCAAGTGTAGATTATAATGCATCTCTCGCCTATGCTCCAGGGAGTACAGATAGAAGAACTTCAAACGTTCCCAGTAGTATAGATGCTTAATTGAATCTATGCGAGCTGTGAAGATGGTTTGTAGTTTCGCCTGACATGAATGGATCTCTTAAGAGTACAGCAGTACTCTAGAGGACAAATGACTTTAAAAGTGTCATCATTGGCTTGACATTTCTTGTTTTGAAGGTTCTGATTATCCAGCCTATCTTTTTCCTGGCGGTGGTGATAGTAACAGTGTTGTCATCCTTGAAGGAAATATCTGACATAATTACTCCCAGGTCTCTTACATTAGTCTTAACACACTATTGAATGATTCGAGTTTGTTTTATACTCCGTTCTAGTCTTTATTTCCCCAGTCTTGCCGTGACAGAGTAACTGAAACTTATACTCTCTGAACACTATATTGTTGTCAGTGGCCCACTGGAAGACTCTCAACTTGGAGGTTTGTCATGTTCTTAGTTCATGTCACGCTTGTACGGATTGTAGTGTTGTCAACAGAGTGGTTGTCAGGGTAGAGAGACCTTTGAAATAGCTCACAGGCATAGTACAGGTTAGTGGCCGTCCCAAGAGCCAGGTTTGTGTGTTTTATTCCCAGGGACACCTCGCTCTTCCATCCCAGGGACACCTCGCTCATCCATCCCAGGGACACCTCGCTCATCCATCCCAGGGACACCTCGCTCATCCATCCTAGGGACACCCCTCTCTTCCATCCAAGGGACACCTAACCCTTCCATTCCAGGGAAAAAACATCAGAGATGGGGCAGGTTCCGTCTCCTTCCCCAGACATGTGGTGCTGGTGGTGCCCTTTGTTGGTGGTGCCTTTTGGTGATGGTACCCTGTGGTGCCCTCTGGTAGTGGTTTCCTCTGATGATGGTGCCCTCTGCTGGTGGTGGCAATAGTAGTGTAGAGGAATTACCATATATACACAGAACTCCGGAGACGCTGCCCAGACCTACACAAACACTCCTCATGATACGCACTTCTCGACCACCAGCCGGCGCCCGTGTCATCCCTAACACGGCAACACGCGACTTACCACGGCAACATGTCTCTTAACACGGCAACACGCCTCTTAGCACGGCAGCACGCCTCTTAACACGATAACACGCCTCTTAACATTACAGCACGCCTCTTAGCACGGCAACACGCCTCTTAATACGATAACACGCCTCTTAACATGCTCGGTAAAAGGCTAACATATAAGATAGCAAAATTTGCGGATGACACCAAATACGTTGAAAGTATAGCATCCAGAGACTGTTTAAATACAGAGGTTGGCTCTGCACAGAAGCTAGAGA